GTCGAAGCTGGCAGTCCCGGGAGCTAGGGGTCCCTTGCCTGGGCCTAAAGCGGAGCCCACGATCGGGGGGCCGCTGCAGCTGCGGGTCCCCGCTTCCCAGGCCGGACGCCTAGGCCAGAGGCGTTAGGCCTGGGCAGGGGCGGAGCCTGCAACCGCGGGGAGCTGGGGGTCCCCTGCCTAGGCCTGACACCTCTGCCGGAGGCCTCAGGCCTGGTCAAGGGGCCGATCCGGTGATTGGTGATCGGAGGGTGATGAGGGTCAACTCCTCTGGCCGAGGCGTCAGGCCTGGGTGGGGGGCGGAGCTGGGGATTGGGGGGATATGATGGTCCCCTTGCCCAGGCCTGAAGCCTGGTTCAGAGGCGTCAGGCTTGGGCGGGGGGTGGAGCAAGCGATCAGAGGGAGATGGGGGTCCCCTGCCCAGGCATGATTCCTGGGCCAGAGGCCTCAGGCCTGGGCGGGGGCCAGAGCCAGTGATCGGGGGGAGATGGGGGTCCCCTGTCCAAGCCTGACACCTCTGCCGGAGGCCTCAGGCCTGGGCAAGGGGCCGATCAGGCGATCGGAGGGTGATGGGGGTCGACGCCTCTGGCGGAGGCATCAGGCCTGGGCAAGGGGCCGATCAGGCAATCGGAGGGTGATGGGGGTCCCCTGCCCAGGCCTGATGCCTGGGCCAGAGGCATCAGGCCTGGGCTGGGGGCAGAACCAGTGATGGGGCGAAATGAGGGTCCCCTGCCCAGGCCTGACACCTCTGTCAGAGGCATCAGGCCTGGGCAAGGGGCTGATCCTGCGATTGGAGGGTGATGGGGGTCAACGCCTGAGGGCTCCCAGTATGTGAGAGGGGGCAGGCTGGGCTGAGGGACACTCCCCCCCGCCCCACACACACCCAGTGCACGAATTTCGTGCACCGGGCCCCTAGTTATAATATATATTCTTGACTTGTTAGTCTAATAAAAATGGATTTTTTTTTTTTTTACTATTTCTCTGCTAATACTAGAATCTAAGAACACTTTAATTTCATTTACACCCTCCCACCTTTTGGATTATTGCTGTCATGCATTTTAATTCTATGGATATTTTACGCACCACATGACATTATTATTACTGTTTTGTACAATTAGTATTCATTTACATTTACACACATATTTTACTCTTTTTTTTAAAAAATATATATTTTATTGGTTTTTTACAGAGAGGAAGGGAGAGGGATAGTTAGAAACATCGATGAGAGAGAAACATTGATCAGCTGCCTCCTGCACACCCCCTATTGGGGATGTGCCCGCAACCAAGGTACATGCCCTTGACCAGAATCAAGCCTGGGACCCTTCAGTCCGCAGGCCGACGCTCTATCCACTGAGCCAAACCAGTCAGGGCCATATTTTACTCTTTATAGTGTTCTTTATTCTTTCCTTCATAGCTGGGATTTTCTTTCTTCCTGAAGAACTCTCTTTAGTATTTCTGTGCTGATAATGAATTCTCTCAACTTTTTGCATATGTACGTATCTGTATTTTGCCTTCAATTCTGAAGGTTGTATTCATTCTCTTTAGGCTTTGATTGTTTCTGTTGAAAAGTCAGCTCTTTTTTCTTTTTTAAAAATTAAATTTATTTGGGTGACATTGGTTAATGCAATTATGTAGATTTTAAGAGTACATTTCTATGATACATCATCTGTATATTGCATTGTGTGTCCACCACCCAAAGTCAAGTTTCCTTTCATCACCATATTTTTTACCCTCTTTACCTTCCTTTTACTACCCCTCACCTCCCTTCCCTCTGGTAGCCACCATACTATTGTCGGTTTCTATGAGTTTTTTGTTTGTTTCTCTTGTTTGTTCATTTGTTGCTTTCAGTTTTATATCCCACATGAATGAAATAATATGGTTCTTGAATTTTTCTGACTTATTTTGCTTAGCATGATAGTCTCAAGACCCAGCCATGTTGTTGCATATGTCAGTATTTCATTTTTTCTTATGGCTGAGTAGTATTCTATTGTATATATGTACTATATTTTTATCCAGTCATCTATTGAGGGACACTTTGGTTGTTTTCATGTCTTGGCCACCATGAATAATGCTATAATGAACATAGGGATGTATATATCTTTGCGAATAAATGTTTTCAATTTTTTTGTGTAGATACTCAGGAGAGGGATTACTGGGGCATATAGTAACTCTATTCTTAATTTTTTGAGGAACATCCATACTGTTTACTTTTTTAAGAAATATGTTTTTATTTATTTCAGAGAGAGGAAGGGAGAGGGAGAGGTGGAAAAATCAATGATGAGAGAGAATCACTTGGCTGCCTCCTGCACGCCCCCTACTGGGGGTTGAGCCTGCAACCTGGGCATATGCCCTGACCAGGAATTGAACTATGACCTCCTGGTTCATAGCTTCATGTCAACCACTGAGCAACACCGGCCGGGCCATACTGTTTTCCATAGTGGCTGTACCAGTATACATTCCCACCAGCAGTGAATATGGGTTCCTTTTTCTCAACATCCTCTCCTACATTTGTTATTACTTATCTTGTTGATAATAGCCATTTTAACAGATGTGAGGTGGTACAATGGAGAAAAAAAAGCCTCTTCAATAAATGGTTCTGGGAAGCCTGGCCTGTGTTTTGAAGTGGTTAGATAGAGTGTGGGCCCCATGCACCAAAGGATTGCAGGTTCGATCCCCAGTCCCCCTGGGGGTGCATGTGGGAGGCAACCCATCAGTGTGTCTCTCCCACATTGATGTTTCTTTCTCTCTCTCTCTCTCGCTCTCTCTCTCTCTCTCTCTCTCTCTCTCTCCCCACCTTCCACTTGCTCTAAGAATCAATGGGGAAAATATCCTCAGGAGGGAGGTTTAACAAAAATTAAAAATTAAAAAAATGAATGGTGTTGGGATCAAAGACCTAAATATAAGATCTGAAATAATAAACTACACAGAAAGAAAACATAGGTTCTAAACTTATGGACTTTGGTCTTAGAAAAGATTTTATGAATTTGACCCCAAAGGCAAAGAAAGTAAAAACAAAACAAACAAACAAAAATGAATGGGACTATCAAACTCAAAAGCTTCTGCACAACAAAAGAAACCACCAATAAGACAAAAAGGCAACCAACTGAATAGGAGACGATATTTGCAAACAATAGCTCCGACAAGGTGTTAATATCCAAAAACTGGAAAGAACTCATCCAACTTAACAGCAAAATAATTATCCAATTAAAAAATTGGCAGAGGACCTGAACAGATACTTCTCACAAGAAGACATACAAAATGGCCAACAGATATATGAAGAGGTGCTTGACTCACTAGCTATTAGGGAAATGCAAATCAAAACTACAATGAAAAGTCAGTTCTTTTTCTTGTTGCTCCTTCGAAGGTCTAGTGTCTTTCTGTCTCTGCTTTTGATTTTCCATATTGTGTACTCTGTGCCTGCCAGACACTGTATGGTCACTGGGGTTAAAACATAACTAAAACATGTTCCCTGCTCTTAGGATCTTACATTCTAGTAGAGGAGGAAATTGTGTTAACCAAGAGAACACCACATGACATAAACTCTAGCAAAGATGTGTATTTGTATTATTAAAAAACGTATGACAAGGGAGAATGATCAATTCTTTATAGGATGAGCATTTAAAGGCTCATCAAAGGGAATTTAAAGGCTATGAGAGAGTTCACCAGGTAGACAAAGGCATGAAAGGGGACCACATTTCAAGCTCAATAGCCACATGTGTATAATGGCTGCTGTATTGCACTGTGTAGGTCTGTAGCTTACTTAAAAATCTCCTCTTAGATTTTACCCATGTCCCTGCAACGTCTGGCAATGCCACACCCATCTTTCCCCTTGAAACTTTTGAACCATTTCATTGTTCTGGTTTTGACTCCTCTGTCTTCCTTCCTGGCTCCTCTTATTGTACTCCATCCAAAATGTGGGTACCTCCCTTGATTTAGGCCTGGACCTCTGGGGTGCCTCTCCACACTATTCCTTGCTTTTATTTGCATCCTCTCATCCCAGATCAACTCATCTGAAAACACGCTCATCTTCCTTCCTTCCTTCCGTCCTGATCCTTGCTAAACTTAGATCTGCCTCCTGTTTCACCATTCAACTTTAAAACTTCAGAGTCATCCTTGACACTGTCCTGTCTTCTATCACCCATGGCCCATAAGCTACCAAATCTTGTGGATTCTTCCCTCTTAATGAATCTCATATCTCTTTCTTCCATCTCTGCCATACAGTTAGTCCAGTACGTTATCATCCCTTCATGTCCAGGCGATCTGAAATATTTTCCTTTGTCTGGTTCATCCTGCAGGTCATGGGTTGGCATTTGAGGTCCCGCACATTTTTACTTTAACCTTCTTTCTCAGCCTTACTATCTGCCATTCCATCTCAAGTTTTCTCTTTAAATCAGTTGGCCAACTTGTCTCCCAAACATATCACCCACATGCATTTGAAATCTTAAGAAATTCTATCTATACACACACACATACACACACACGCATGCATGCACACACACAAACACATGCGTGTGCACACACACAGCAGTCAGGAAATATGAACGCTCATCTGCCTTTTCTATGAAGATTTTTTTTTAATCTAAGTGACTCCTTTCCTTTGAGCTTCTGTAGCATTAATTTACTGCATTATTTTATAATGTAGTGAATTAATATACTTGCTCAACCAGACTGTTAGCATTTTAAACATTTGAATTTTCAGCACTGTGGAAATTGCCTTCTTTTGTGTGTCTCACACATAGTTGTGAATCAGATGATTTTAAGTTGATCATTCAAAAAGCCCTTCCTTGATGCAAATATTAGCTTTAGTATTTTTTTGTTTTGAAATGTATATGGTGAGGTTAGATGTCTTTTATTTGAAACATTCAATCATTCGCGGGGAGAATATCAGTTTTCTAAAATGGAATCTTTAACCTGATAATGTAATACAATGCAATTCTATAATTGCAGAGGGAGATATTATTGGAGAGAGACAGAAGTAAACATTTTTGTGGATTTTTCCTTAGGTTGACACCGTCAGAATTGTTCACATCCATTCTGTCATCATCTTGCGACGTTCTGATAAGAGGAAGGACCGAGTGGAAATTTCGCCAGAGCAGTTATCTGCGGCCTCAACAGAGGCGGAGATATCCTTATTGGTTGATGAGAAGTTGTTGTTTCTTTAAAAATATATTTTATTGATTTTTTACAGAGAGGAAGGGAGAGGGATAGTTACAGAGAGTTAGAAACATCGATGAGATAGAAACATCGATCAGCTGCCTCATGCACACCTCCTACTGGGAATGTGCCTGCAACCAAGGTACATGCCCTTGACTGGAATTGAACCTGGGACCCTTCTATCCACTGAGCCAAACTGGTCAGGGCTTGATGAGAAGTTTTTATGTGCTCTGGGGCTTCTAAGCCAGGTCCCTCTGTTTGCTACCTTAGCCTGCTTAAGGAGGAGGTTTCACAGGCTTTCTTCCTGGTGACTCCCAGTTTTCATATTTGCCCCTTAGATCCAATTGCTTGGTTAATCAGAATTAAAAAAAAATTAAAAAATATTTTTATTGATTTCAGAGAGGAAGGAAGAGAGAGAGAGAGAGAGAGAGAGAGAGAGAGAGAGAGAGAGAGAGAGGAAGAAACATCAATGATGAGAGAGAATCACTGATCGGCTGCCTCCTACATGCCCCACGCTGGGGATGGAGCCTGCAACCGGGCATGTGCCCTGACCAGGAATCAAACCTCCTTGTTCATAGGTCGAGGCTCAACCACTGAGCCACACTGGCTGGGTGGTTAATCAGAATTTTTGTCCACTTCTCCTTTTGTATGGCTTTTATTGAAGAATTAGAAATTTCTAACATTCCTTCTCTTAAATGCCCAAAGATCCCAAGGTCAAATCCTATGACAATGAACTCTATGAGGAGTCCCTTCGTCCTCCTCTCTCCACCCCTCTTCAGTCCCTTATGCCCCGCTTCCCCAGTTTTCCTAGTATCATTTAATTTCTAGGCTTTTTACTATCTTGGTCTATGTTGTTTGGAAACATTCTCTTTTGAGGCTGCCTCTCAAAAGAAAAAATGCAATGCTCGCCCTGCCTGGTTTGGCTCAGTAGCTAGAATGTCAGCTTGCGGACTGAAGGGTCGCAGGTTCGATTCCAGCCAAGGGCACATGCCCTGTTGCAGGCTCGATCCATGATTCTCTCTCATCATTAATATTTCTATCTCTCTCTCCCTCTCCCTTCCTCTCTGAACTCAATAAAAATATTATTTTTTAAAAAAACAAAACAAAAAAAAAATAAAAATGCACTGCTGAGAACTGAATGCAATATTCCATGTAAAGTACAACCAAAGAATGGTCAAATGGGACATTTGCTTCCTATGATCTGGACTCCATACCTCATCTAGTCTCCTCACGAAGAGACTGTGCTGATCAGTGGTCTGTGGAATACTCCAGAGGGACCCTCTGGATATGCAAGAGTTTTTCCCTCTACTGCTCTCTTCTCAGTCCTCCGCCCTGCCAACTCTAGCTGCTGGACTGTGCGATCCATCTCCTAAGCCCAGGGAGCCGGCTGAGCTGCACCTCAGTTCCCCTTCCTGCTCTGTGGCCTGGACATTCTCTCAAGGGCTCACCTTGTTTGTTTCCCATATGTTGGCCTTCCTGTTTCATATAATCCAGCTTGTTTGCTTGTCTCAGGCAGGAGATAAGTCCAGTCCCTCTTCTTCCGTTTGAGCCAGAAGCAGAAAGCCCATTCATTGGTATTCGAGCAAACAAAGACAAACTCACCCCAAATAAAATTCCCAGAAAAGATGTGTGTTGATTGTGATTATGGATTGTAACTTCAAACTGAAAGGAGTCCATTCTCAAAGCGGGAGAGGAATGGCTGGACACATTGTTGCGTGTTAATGTACTGACATGACTGTGAGTGTCTATCAAGTATTTACTCCGTGCCAGGCAAGATGCTCCTTGCTTGGATTACCTCATTTACTCTTCACTGTGTGAGCTGGACTCCCCCATCTGCAGCTGAAGAAATGAGCTCAGAGCAGTTAAGTAATTTTTCTTGGCGACTGAAAAATAAAAAGATAACTTAAAAAGTATTCTTTCTTAGACTCAGTCGTATAAAAAAGTGTTATCGTCTTTTAATGTAATTTGCAGGGAAGTGAGCCAGCATTTTGCACTTTAGCAGCAATAGTCTTTTTTTCCCCCAAATATATTTTATTGATTTTTTGCAGAGAGGAAGGGAGAGGGTTAGAGAGCTAGAAACATCAATGAGATGAGAGAGAAACATCGATCAGCCGCCTCCTGCACACTCCCCACTGGGGATGTGCCCACAACCAAGGTACATGCCCTTGACCGGAATCGAACCTGGGACCCTTCAGTCTGCAGGCCGACGCTCTATCCACTGAGCCAAACTGGCCAAGGGCTCTGAGTTGGGTTCTTATCTCAAGTTAGAGCCTCAGAATTATAGGCAAATTTTATTTCCAGAACGAAGGAGGAAAAGATTCCTTTGGGGGCTATTTCTAGACAAATGGGGAGACGGAACTAGGTTCATTTGATCTCTGCACATGTGACAGGCACCTCACACAGACACCAGAGGGAGAGGGCTGTCCCCAACCTCGAGTCTTGTCTTCTCAAAGAAATGAATTTAAATGAGAAAACTGCAGATGATTGCATTGTGATAAAGCTAATTTATTGAAGCAATTCAAGCAAGCGAACTTATTAAAGAAGCAAGGCGAGCAAATCCCTTTCATTTCTACCAGCTGGGAGCACAGATGGGCTTTTCCGGCTAACCCGGAAAAGTGAGTACCTGGCAAGGGTTCTAGGCGTTATATGCCCTCCTGTCTATAGGTTTCAAAGATTCTCTTGTTGAATATCTTGGTTTAGATTGATTCTCAAGGTCCCTTTTAACTTTGTTGTGGCCTTCCCAGAATTCATGAGAAGCACGGGGCAATTTTATCTTCCAAGCCCTGAGACTCCTGGCTTCTCTGCTTAGGGAGTAAAACGGTCCTTTCTTTCCTTTCCCCTTCCCCCCTCCTTTCCTGCATTCCTTCCTTAGGGAGGATTTTAACCATTTGCTCTCAAGTGTCCTTGGCCGGGGAAGATAATTGCTTGTTATTTGCAGGCCAGCTGCAAATTGCCCACAAGCTTTGACCTTGTTTGAACTTTCCTGTCTCAGTTTCCCTATTCCTTCTGCCCTGCAATTTTCCTAGCTTCTTACTATCCTGTAACAAAACCACCCTGGTTGCTATTGTTGACATGGGTAGTCTGCCAGAGAGAAAGCAAATGAATTTTTAAAATCTTGTATTTCTCAAAAATGGGAGTAGGATGGAGCGAGCGAGAGAGAGAGGTTAGAACAGTACAGTGGGGCCTTGACTGACGAGTGTCCCGACTAACGAGTTTTTTGAGATACCAGCTGTTTCTCTGCCGATTTTTTGCATTGAGTTGATAGAGTAATTTGAGTTAACGAGCTCCTTAACGAGCTCGGTCTCAGAACGAATTAAACTCGTAAGTCAAGGCCCCACTGTACTCCAGTTAATAATGTAAGCGACTTCCAAAGATTTAGAAAAGTTTTTCCAGACAGCGCAGTGATAAGTATTTCAGTGATCAAACATTAGCTAAGGAGAATGTAACTATATACAATAATGGGAACTGAGTGGATTTCAGAGAGAGAGAGAGAGACTCCTTTGTTTTTAAATGGGAAGTCTGGGAAATTCTGGGTATCAACCTTACTTCATTCTTTATTGACATTAAATTGTAAACGGTTTGTTTTCAACCTCAGGATGCTTTCTGAGCCCTTGTCAGCATCACTGCTTTTATTCCCACAAGTTGAAAATACCTTGACAGACACACAGGTTGGCTGAACTAACAGGTCGTCCCATGAGAGTGGTGGGCTGGTATCACTCCCATCCTCATATAACTGTTTGGCCTTCACATGTTGGTAAGTAGGGGCTTGCAGTGTTTATTGTTCTTAGACATGAATATGATTTTCCTTTTCCATTATGTGAGCTATGGTTGCTTTCAAGCAAAATTTAACTATCCTTAAACAGGTTTCCTGATTTTTATTGTGCTATGTTTTAAAAGTAATGATTTACATCATGTTGAGTATTTTTAATAGAGATAAAATTTCAGCACTCCATCTTGAATGAGCGACACTGTAGTCAGACAACCAAGGCAAAGTGTCAGGTAGACAATTGCATATATGATTCTGGAGTTTGGGGTAGAAGTGTGGGACTAGAGTTTATTGGGGGTGAGTTGGGAGTGGTTAGTGTAGAGATGAGGTATGAAGCCGTGGAACTAGGATGAAATCCCCCAGGGAGTGAGTATAGCCCTTGGTATGCCACTATGTCAGGAGTGGGAAGATGGGAAGGATCCAACAAGATCAGAGACTGGAAAAGATCAGCCACGAAGGTAAGAGGACAGAGGGGAAGAGTGGGAGTGGGAGGCCAAGTGAAGACAGATTTAAGGAGGGAACAATCGGGTAAATTGAGGGCCAAGAATAGATCATTGGTGATCTTGAGAAAAGCACTTTGGGTGGGATGGTATGGACAGTAATCCTTTTCAGACTCAGATAGCCGTTCTTCAACAATGCTTCAGGAATGCTTATGAAATATCTTTGATGTGCTAGGCTTTGTGCTAAAAAATCTTGCAATTTTAAAAATACAAAGCCCTGTGAATGTAGGGATGATGTTTATTCTTATTTAACAGACTAGGGGCTCAGTGCACCAATTTGTGCAGCTTGAAAGAAACTGTGGGCCGTGAGGCTGTGGTGGGCACAGGGGTGGGTCTTGGCCCATCTTCTGCACCCCTGCCCGGTCCCTCCCACCATGGTCCCCAGTCTCCTGTCTGCTGCAGCCCACTCCCATCACTGTGGCTGCCATGCACTGAAGGCGCTGGCCCTGCTCACTCCCATTTGTCCCAGTGATCCCACTTCTAGGAATATATCCCAAGAAACTAGAAACAACAATCAGAAAGGATGTATGCACTCCTATGTTCATAGCAGCACAATTTACAATAGCTAAGATTTGGAAACAGCCTAAGTGCCCATCAGCAGATGAGTGTATTAAAAAACTATGGTACATCTACACAATGGAATACTACGCTGCAGTGAAAAAGAAGGAACTCTTGCCATTTGCAACAGCATGGATGAAACTGGAGAGCATTATGCTAAGTGAAATAAGCCAGTCAGAGAAAGATAAATATCACATGATCTCACTCATTTGTGGACTATAGAGAACAGCATAGACTGATGAATAAGGACAGATCCAAAGACAGAGAAACAGCGATCAGACTATCAATCCCCAGAGGGAAAGTAGGGGAGGGTGGGGGTAAGGGGAAGAGATCAACTAAAGGACTTGTATGCATGCACATAAGCCAAACCAATGGACACGGACAACAGGAGGATGAGAGCATGGGGGGGGGGGTTAATGGGGGGATGAGGACACATTTGTAATACCTTAACCAATAAAGAAATTAAAGATTAAAAAAAAGATAATGCAAAAAAAAAAAGAATTTCCTCTGTAATAGGTCTATGCTTCTGTTTTTTTTTTTTTTTTTATATTTTATTGATTTTTTACAGAGAGGAAGGGAGAGAGAGATAGAGAGTTAGAAACATCGATGGGAGAGAAACACCGATCAGCCGCCTCCTGCACATCTCCTACTGGGGATGCGCCCGCAACCCAGGCACATGCCCCTGACCGGAATCGAACCCGGGACCCTTCAGTCCGCAGGCCGACGCTCTATCCACTGAGCCAAACCGGTTTCGGCCTATGCTTCTGTTTTTTAGTATCAAGTCTAATATATTCACTTCCCCAGAAGCTATCCATCAAAAAATTTATTCTAGGAAATCTTTTTTAAAAATATATTTTTATTGATTTCAGAGAGAAAGGTAGAGAAAGAGAGACAGAAACATCAATGATGAGAGAGAATCATTGACCGGCTGCCTCCTGCACGCCCCCCACTGGGGGTCAAGCCTACAACCCAGGCATGTGCCCTGACTGGGAATCAAAATGTGACCTCCTGGTTCATAGGTCAATAGTCAACCACTGAGTCATGGTGGCTGGACTCTAGGAAATCTTTTTGTTTCTTTCCAGTGCCCTCCTTTCTCTTTGGGTCCCCTAGAAGCAATTATCAAGTTTTGGGGGCTAATTTAAGTTTTCCATTTTTCTTTTTCTATGCTACGTTTCATAGGAGGGCTAGTCTTGGGGTAGGCAGCCTAGAGTTATTAATAAGTTTTCTAATTTAATTGCAGACATCCCATAGTATTTTTCTGACCTAGTGAAATATTAATACTTTGACAACCATATTGTACTGAGGATATATTCCTTTTCTGCCTATAGAATCTGAATCTTGGGAGGATTGTATACCACTTTTAAATCTTTATGACTATGAGATACTGACAGCAGATTTTGATTTTTATTTACAGATGTTCGCACACAAGCCATGTACCAGATGATGGATCAAGGCTTTGTAGGACTTATTTTTTCCTGTTTCATAGAAGATAAAAACACAAAGGTATTGTGTGTGTGTGCCTGCATATGCGTGCGTGCATGCAGAATAGAGAAAAATCTTTTTGAAATTTCAATAGGGTGGCCAGGGAAGGTTTCAATGAGAAAGGTCATTGAGTCAGGACCTGAAGAAAGTGAGGGAGCAAGTCTTGTGGATTTCTTGGGGGAAGAGCGTTCCAGGCAGAGGAAATAGCCAGTGCAAAGAACCTGAGGTGAGTGTGTCATGTTCAAGGGAGTCAGTGTGGCTGCAGCAGAGTGAGGAAGACCGTGACCACATGTCCCCATATGCCTCTGTCAGCCCCAGTTTTACCCCAATATCCCCATCTCCTATGCAGTTGATTTACTTCTTGGAAGAGTCCTGGTTTGGATGATAACTCATTTGGTTATCCTACCATGAGGTCTGAAAGATAACAGGGACCAGATCTTGTAAGGCCTTGACTTTGAGTTGAGAAGCCACGAGAGAAGTGATTTTCAACCTTTTTTTAATTTCATGGCACACATTAACTAACTACTAAAATTCTGTGGCACACCAAAAAATATATTTTTTTGCTGATCTGACAAATAAAATAGATATAATTTTGATCATTCATACCAAATAGCTATTGTTGTGTTGGCTATTGTCATTTTTAAAAATATATGTATATTTTTTGTCCTAGCTGGTTTGGCTCAGTGAATAGAGCATCGGCCTGTGGACTGAAGGGTTCTGGGTTCGATTCTGGTCAAGGACACATGCCTGGGTTGCAGGTTCAACCCCCGGTGGGAGGCGAGTGGGAAGCATATATATATATTGATTTCAGAGAGGAAGGGAGAGAGAGATAGAAACATCAATGATGAGAGATAATCACTTATCGGCTGCCTCCTGCACGTCTCCTACTGGGGATCGAGCCCGCAACCCAGGCATGTGCCCTGACCAAGAATTGAATCATGTCCTCTTGGCTCATAGGTTAATGCTTAACCACTGAGCCATGCCAGCTGGGCAGCTTTTGTCATTTTTTATTTGAATTCTAAGGGAAAAGAGGTCAGTGCCTAGTCAGATATTGCATGTTTTAAAAATCCTTGCAGCACACCAGAGTGCCGTGGCACACCAGTTGAAAATCACTGCACTAGAGGGTGATTTTATGTTTGAACTAGTGGCCCAGTGCATGAAATTCATGCACATTAAAAGGGAATTAATTAGAGGAAATATTTTAATATTGCTATTCATCCTTTCTCTATAACAGAAGTGTCTGGCTGGCCCTATCCCCATTGGGCGACAACAAGACTTGGCTGGCCCCATGCCCATCAAGCCCCGCCGGGCGGGGGACGCAGCCTCACGTCCCGGCACCAGGGCAGGGGGTGCAGCCTCAGGTGCCCCAGCCCAGGTGCCAGGGCAGGGGCGTGGCTTCGGGTCCCACATCAAGCCCCGCCAGGCAGGGGGAACAGCCTCAGGTCCCCACCCCAGCCCGGTGCCACACAGCCTCAGGTCCCTGCTGATTTGCATGATGGCATGATGACTATTTGCATATTAGCCTTTTATTACGATGATGGGAAATTTTTGGTTACTGTGTTAATAATAATTTGCATAAGGTTTGCATTAGCATTAGGGTGGGATTGGTGGGGGGAGCTATGGAATCCATGGATCCATGAAAGAAGTTAAGAAGATATTACAGTAATCTAGCAAGAAATGATGGAGGTTTGACCATAGTGGTAGGAATAGAGGCAATGTGAAGTGTCCAGATTCTGAATATATTTTGATGGCTAATAATAGTAACAAGTACTACCATTTATCTTATTGTATGGCACATACTTATTAGGTGTTTTACATAAATATGCTCTAACCCTGATAACAAGCCAATGAGGATCCATTATTATCCATATTTTATGGATGAGTACACTGAAGCTCAGAGATGTTAAGCAATTTGATCAATGGCTAGTCTTGCCACTCTCTGTTTAGAGTGCTTCTGTTTGAATTTTATGTTCATGTAAAGAGATTTTGCTAGATGTCCATTCAAACAGAAAGAAAAGTACTTTTTAACATTGTTGGTATGAATTTTGCCAACAGTATCAAGTGAGTCCTATCATTAGCTCATCAGTTATATTCTCAGAATCTATGTTAACAATGAATATTCTTCATAAAATCACCTTGAAAAAATATTTTTATTGATTTCAGAGAAGAAGGGAGAGAGAGATAGAAACGTTAATGATGAGAGAGAATCATTGATCGGCTGTCTCCTGCACAGCCCCCACTGGATCGAGCCCACAACCCAGGCATATGACCTGACCGGAATCAAACCATGATCTCCTAGTTCATAGGTCAACAATCAAACACTAAGCCATGTTGGCTGGGCCATAAAATCACGTTTCCGCAAAGTGAAGTTCAGTATTTTGAACTTTATACTTTATTTGAAATGCTTTTGGTTTTGTCATCATAAATTTATTTGTTGTCATTATAAATGGCTATTGAATAAGTGTGTTGGTTTCCAACAGAGCAGTTTGAATATTCTGGTTCTTAGCTTCTCGGTTCTCATGTTTGTGAGCAGTTCTCTACTATCATATGAGCAGATGTTTGATTGTGGCCACTGTGTGTTTTGTTTTTTTTTGTTTTTCAAATGAGAACTTTTTTTTACTTCAAGAGAAATGATTTTAGATATAATAATGTTACATGCAATAAACATTAATATTTTAAGAAAAACAATCTTTTTTTTTTTATATTTTTTTATTGATTTTTCACAGAGAGGAAGGAAGAGAGATAGAGAGTCAGAAACATCGATGAGAGAGGAACATCGATCAGCTGCCTCCTGCACATCTCCCACTGGGGGATGTGCCCGCAACCCAGGTACATGCCCTTGACCGGAATCGAACCTGGGACCTTTCAGTCCGCAAGCCGACGCTCTATCCACTGAGCCAAACCGGTTTCGGCAACAATCTTAAATATAATACATCCAATAAACAATATCTCACAAAAATGATTTTAAATATAATAATGTTACATACAGTAAACACCAATTACTCGAGAAAAACTACCTTAAATATAATATTACATGCAATGAACATTAATTTTTCAAGAAAAAAAGGATTTTAAGTATAATAATATTACCAAAACTGTACTAACATAGTATGATATCAAAAAAGTTGTAGGAAATATTAAAAATCTGCAAATAACAGGATTACTTCTATTATATTCTAAAATATTACTTTCCCCCTCTGGCTCTATTTTTGTTCATCAGTTTATGTTGTTCATTATATTCCACAAATGAGTGAGACCATGTGATATTTATCTTTCTCCGACTGACTTATTTCACTTAGCATGATGCTCTCCAGGTCCATCCATGTGATTGTGGCCACTGTGTGTTGAGTTAGTTACATGATACTTACAGAAGCTGATTTATGGCATATTCCATCTCTGTGATCTCTTTTAACCTTCCACTTTCAGAGTGCTCTTTGAACTTGAGGTTAGAGTCCACAACATTGCTATACCTTTTTCAAAATTAATCCTTCTCTGTGTGACCTATCTTTCTTATTTATTTATTTATTTTTTTGTAGACTGGCCGGGTACTCTACACTTGCTTTCAATCCATTCAGGCCCAAAAGAGCTCAGAGTAAGTATGGCAGAGATGTACGTATGTATTGATGGGCTAATTTCTAGTCCAGGACATTGATTGTTTTGTTTCTTTTTAAATATATTTCTTTATTGATTTCAGAGAGGAAGGAAGAGGGAGAGAGAGATAGAAACATCAATGATGAGAGAGAATCATTGATTGGCTGCCTCCTGCACGCCCCCTACTGGGGATCGAGCCTGCAACCCAGGTATGTGCCCTTGGCTGGAATCGAACCCGGGACCCTTCGGTCCGCAGGCCGACGCTCTATCCACTGAGCCAAACTGGCTAGGGCGATTGTTTTGTTTATTTTTGTTGTTAATCCTCACCTGAGGATATTTTTTCCATTGATTTTTTTGATTTTTTGGGAGTGGAAGGGACGGGGAGAGACACAGAGAGAGAAACCTCGATGTGAGAGAGGCACATTGATTGGTTGCCTCCCGCATGCCTCCTGATCAGGGCTGGGGATTGAGCCTGCAACCGAGGTACACTCCGTTGACCAGAATCGAACCTGGGACCCTTCAGTCCATGGGCTCACACTCTATCCAGCAAGCCAAAAACAGTTAGGGCTGTTTTGTTTCATTTTATTTCTCTCACTGGTAAGACTAAGAATTCTATAGTCTACTTATTTCCACTAACATCTCTGTGAGGAGTTAGAATCTCTTTAGCATCTTGGGTATTGGGGACCTAGAAAGCTAGGGTCATACAAGCAGTCTTTTAATTGCAATTACACCCTCACAGTCCTGTCATTTCTTTTTTTAAAAAATATATATATATTTTGCCAAACTGGTTTGGCTCAGTGGATAGAGCATCGACCTGCGGACTGAGAGGTCCCGGGTTCGATTCCGGTCAAGGGCATGTACCTTGGTTGCGGGCACATCCCCAGTGGGAGTGTGCAGGAGGCAGCTGATCGATGTTTCTCTCTCATCGATGTTTCTAGCTCTCTATCCCTCTCCCTTCCTCTCTGTAAAAAAATCAATAAAATATATTTAAAAATAAATAAATAAATAAATAAATAAATATATTTTTATTGAATTCAGAGAGGAAGGGAGAGGGAGAGAGAGATAGAAAATCAATGATGAGATCGGCTGCCTCCTGCACACCCCTTACTGGGGATCGAGCCCGCAACCTGAGCACATGCCCCGACTGGGAATCAAACCAGTGACATCCTGGTTCAGAGGTCTCCACTCAACCCTGTGCCACACCGGCTGGGCCTGTCCAGCATTTCTTGTATCTCTTCTGAGTTGCACTGTTACTTTTCCTTTTTCTGGTGAATTGTAAATCAAAGACCAAGTATGCGGAGTACTATAGATTTGTATAGACTATTGTCTTTGCTGTGCCATAAACTTAACTGTAGAATTACAGTATTTCATTCCAATGTTTGCATTGGTTAGCTTCCTCATTTAAATTCAATTAATCCTAAATTAGAAAAAATCTTAATTTAATATCTGCTGTATGCCAAGCATCAGGGTAGGCACTGAGGATGCAAAGATGAAAGTCAGGCTGATTATCTAACTGGGAAACAGAAGCAAAGAATGTTTTAAATTTTTTCTTATAATAATTGTTAAGTTATTATTAAAGCATTGTAGCATTGTTTGAAATAGCAACAAATTGGAAGAAACATATGTCTATCAGTGGAAAAAAACGGATAAAGAAAAGGTGATGTGTGTATATGTATGAATATATACCATTTTCAGCAACATGGATGGACCTGGAGAACATTATGTTAAATGAAATAAGCCAGACACAGAAAGGCAAATCTTACATGCTCTCACTTACATGTGGAATCTAAAATAGTCAAACTCATAGAAGCAGGGAGTAGAATGGTGGTTGTTAGGGGTGGGGTGGTGGAGGAGAAAATGAGGAAGTGTTGGTAAAAGGATACAAAATTTCAGGATGAATTCTAGAGATCTAATGTACAACAGGATAACTACAGTTAAAACTATTATATTACATACTTGAAATTTGCTAATAAAGTAAATCTTAGTGTTCTCATGACAAAAACGATAACTGTGAGGTGATGAATATGTTGATTAGCTTGAGCATGGTAATCATTTCACAGTGTATATATATCAAAATATCAATTTGTAAACCTTAAATATATATAACTAGAGGCCCAGTGCACAAGATTCGTGCACTGGGGGTGTGTCCCTCAACCAGCCCGTGCCCTGTTGCAGTCCGGGAGCCCTCAGGATGTCCGACTGCCGTGGAGGCACTCACCATCCATGAGCCTGGCTTCTGGGCTTCTGGCTGAGTGGTGGTCCCCCTGTGGGAGTGCACTGACCACCAGGGTGCAGCTCCTGCATTGAGCATCTGCCCCCTGGTGGTCAGTGCGCGTCATAGCGACCCATTGTTCTGCTGTTCAGTTGATTTGCATATTACCCTTTTATTATATAAGATTCCTATTGTCAATTATACTTCAAAAAGCTTGAGACAGACAAACAAAAACTGACTTGAATTGATTGTCTTGCAGGTATGAGAGAATTGAAATCCCAATCCATATTGTACCTCATGTGAGCATTGGAAAAGTGTGCCTTGAATCAGCAGTTGAGCTGCCCAAGATCCTGTGCCAAGAAGAGCAGGATGCATATAGGAGGATCCACAGGTAGGAAGCTTCCTCACTTCTCTTCTCCACTTCTAAGGGCCAGTCCCTATTGTCCTCTTCTCTCCTTTCATCTTAGCAGCTCAGCTCTTTCCTTTTACCTCTCTGTGGAGCATGCTTCATAGCAGTCTCTGATTATAAAGTTTCTCACACTGTCTGATAACAATCTCATTAACAATTGTTTATCTCTTGTAGCACTTTGGATCTTCCAAGTGCACAGACACTTTTTGGGTTGTAAAAAAATAATAAACTGCAATATCTTAGCCCTGATGCCAAGCACTGGGTCTTGCCCAATAAATATATACTATGTGAAGGCTTCAATGAGAGACAGTAATTTCAAAATTATCTCTTTGAGCCCTGGCCAGTTGCTCAGTGGTTAGAATATCAGCCTGTGGACCAAAGGGTCACAGGTTTTATTCCCAGTCAAGGGCACATGCCTTGGTTGCAGGATCCACCCCTGACTCCAGTTGGGGCTTGAGCGGAAGGCAATAAATTGATGTGTCTCTCTCACATCGATGTTTCTCTCTGTCTCTGCCTCTCTTTCTCTCTTGCGCGCTCTCTCTCTCCATTCTCCCTCCCTTCCACTCTGTCTAAAAATCAGTGAAAAATATCATCTGGTGAGGATTTTAAAAAAATATCTCTTTGAGTTATATTCAAGTTCTGAATAAAGTCATGTCTCAAAAATCATGCAAAATTTAACCATAATGTGAATTTAAATTATACATATTCATCTAGTCCAGATTGCAGAGATCTGGCACAGTGTATCATTTTGGTATAGAGTCCATGACCATTTTGTTTTCCCTCCACTGCTGCTTTGTTGCTAACCTTAACTATTTTATCCCTTTAGTCTTACACATCTGGACTCAGTAACCAAGATCCATAATGGCTCAGGTAAGATCTTTTTTCTTGTTTATAGGCAGTGATCCATCTCTGGAATACTCAGCTGACAGAAGCAAATTTAGTTGAAGTGACTGAAGCGATTGGTACAAGTTATCCTCACGTTTCCTTTCCCAAAAGCTTTGCCAATCATTAATCCTGCTCTCACCTTTTCTATCAAATGCCTTAGACCAGTGGTTCTCAACCTTCCTAATGCCGCGACCCTTTAATACAGTTTCTCGTGTTGTGGTGACCCCCAACCATAAAATTATTTTCGTTGCTACTTCATAACTGTAATGTTGCTACTGTTATGAATCTTAATGTAAATATCTGATATGCAGGATGTATTTTCATTGTTACAAATTGGACATAATTAAATCATAGTGATTAATCACAAAACAATATGTAATTATATATGTGTTTTCCGATGGTCTTAGGCGACCCATGTGAAAGGGTCGTTCAACCCCCAAAGGGGTTGCGACCCAGAAGTTGGCAACCCACAGGTTGAGAACCGCTGCCTTATACCCTCAGATAATAGAAGTGCTGCCTAAAGTAAGACTGGAGAAAAGACAGGGACAAGTTTTATGAGAGACTCCCCCTCAGTGGTGTGCTGGTACATGTTTAATAACCAATTCTCAGGGAGGCGGAGGTCCCTGATTTGGTGTGTTTGCCAGTTTCCATGGTATAATAGCTCTTCATGGCTAATTTCAAATAACTAATATGGCTTCAATCAGGTAACAAACTTTTTGAAATGTCAACAGTTGGCTCTCATGAGCTGGTCGAAGTTGGTTCTAGCATACCACTACCAGCCTATGATGGTGGGTGGGAATCAAAAGAGTTGGATAGAAACACAGACAGAAAGACAGATGAAAGGGAGGGAGGGCACGAGGAAGGAAATTGTTTCATGCCAATAAATATAGAAGGAATCCCTATACAAGGCCAAGAAACAGCAAACTCAATACAATGTACAAAATTACCTTTCCCCAACATACACAGCTACCCACCCACATTTCCTCTCTAGTCCTGAGTCGCAGGCCATTCTGTGCAGTCTTCCCCAGTGGCTGACAAAGTCACCAGTGAGGAAGAAGGGGAGGCTTTTAAGTGTTACAGGTAATTACTTTGAGAGGAAAAGAGAGAGATGGCTTAGTGCAGTGGTCGGCAAACTGCGACTCGCGAGCCACATGCGGCTCTTTGGCCCCTTGAGTGTGGCTCTTCCACAAAATCCATGTGCGGGCGCGCACGTACAGTGCGATTGAAACTTCGTGGCCCATGCGCAGAAGTGGGTATTTTGTGGAAGAGCCACACTCAAGGGGCCAAAGAGCCGCATGTGGCTCGCGAGTCGCAGTTTGCCGACCACTGGCTTAGTGTATTGGTCCCATCATTTCTATCTAAGGGAATAAAGAGCTGGTCATTTTCCGCTCTCTGCTTAGCTAGGCTTCCCTCTGGCCCATGCGTCCAGGGGTGTTCAGGAATGCCTCAGAATAGGTAACCTTGGCTCAGCTGTTCTGCCTTTCCTCTGGATGGCCGTACAAAATTGTCTGCCAGTCCTACTTATTGTACTTTTTCTACTTCCTCCTCCAACCCCTTCTTTCTGCGTTCACAGTTGGGGGGTGAGCTGCTGGGGGTGGCATGTTACTCATCTGTGTTTTTCCTATTGAAGTGTTTACCAAGAACCTGTGCAGTCAGATGTCAGCAGTCAGCGGACCTCTCCTACAGTGGTTGGAGGACAGACTGGAGCAAAACCAACATCATTTGCAGGAGTTGGAACAAGAAAAGGAAGAGCTTATGCAAGAACTTTCTTCTCTAGAATAAAGTGGGAGACAAAATGAAGTAAGAAACTTTTTTTTCAATGGTCTGAAAATTCACACACCTCATATATAGCCAAACAGGGAGCAACTCTTTTTATATCACAGTGGATGAGTTTTATGCATGGAATAAACACAGGACATCTTCCTAAAAGTTTCATTGGGGCTTAATGAACCCTCTCCCTATAACTAGCCTACAAAGAGCATTACAAGATGACTTAAGGAGACTATGAAAGGGTTTTTTTAAAAAAAATATATTTTATTGATTTTTTACAGAGAAGAAGGGAGAGGGATAGAGAGAAACATCGATGAGAGAGAAACCTCGATCAGCTGCCGCCTGCACGCCCCCCAGTGGGGATGTGCCCGCAACCCAGGTACATGCCCTTGACCGGAATCGAACCCAGGACCCTTGAGTCCGCAGGCAGACGCTCTATCCACTGAGCCAAACCGGTTCCGCTGCTACAGCCTTTTCAAAAAACCTTTCACCCGAACCGGTTTGGCTCAGTGGATAGAGCATCAGCCTACGGACTCAAGGGTCCCGGGTTTGATTCCGGTCAAGGGCATGTTCCTTGGTTGCGGGCACATCCCCACTGGGGGGCGTGCAGGAGGCAGCTGATCGATCTCTCTCATCGATGTTTCTAACTCTCTATCCCTCTCCCTTCTTCTCTGTAAAAAATCAATAAAATATATTTTAAGAAAAAGGCTGTAGTAGGTGTATTGGCAAGGACAACCTGTAATAACATGTCTGAGGGATTTTTTTTTTTTTTTTGCTTAAAGTATTACAAAGAGTATTACATATGTCTCCTTTTTTTCCCCCCGCCCATGACAATCCCCTGGCCTCCCCTGCCCCCCAGTGTCTTATGTCCATTGGTTATGCTTATATACATGCATACAAGTCCTTTGGTTGATCTCTTACCCACCCCCCTCCTCCCCTCCCACCCTCCCCGGCCTTCCTGCTGTAGTTTGACAGTCTGTTCGAGGCAGCTCTGCCTCTGTATCTATTTTTGTTCATAAGTTTATAATGGTCTTGTTATCCAGAAATGAGAGAGATCATGTGGTATTTTTCCTTCATTGACTGGCTTATTTCACTTAGCATAATGCTCTCCAGTTCCATCCATGCTGTTGCAAATGGTAAGAGTTCCTTCTTTTTTACAGCAGCATAGTATTCCATCATGTAGATGTACCACAGTTTTCTAATCCATTCATCTACTGATGGGCACTTAGGCTGTTTCCAGATCTTAGCTATGGTGAATTGTGCTGCTATGAACATATCGGTGCATATATCCTTTCTGATTGGTGTTTCTGGTTTCTTGGGATATATTCCTAGAAGTGGGATCACAGGGTCAAATGGGAGTTCCATTTTCAGTTTTTTGAGGAAACTCCATACTGTCTTCCATAGTGGCTGCACCAGTCTGCATTCCCAGCAGCAGTGCACAAGTGTTCCTTTTTCTCCACATCCTCTCCAGCACTTGTCGTTTGTTGATTTGTTGATGATAGCCAGTCTGACAGGTGTGAGATGGTACCTCATTGTTGTTTTGATTTGCATCTCTTGGATGATTAGTGACTTTGAGCATGTTTTCATATATCTCTTGGCTTTCTGAATGTCCTCTTTTGAAAGGTGTCTATTGAGGTCCTTTGCCCATTTTTTGATTGGATTGTTTATCTTCCTTTTGTTAAGTTGTAGCTCCCTATAAATTTTGGAGATTAGGCCCTTATCAGATATGACATTGGCAAATATGTTTTCCCATGCAGTGGGTTTTCTTGTTGTTTTGTTGATGGTTTCTTTTGCTGTGCAGAAGCTTTTTATTTTGATGTAGTCCCATTTGTTTATTTTCTCTTTAGTTTCCAATGCCCTAGGAGCTGTATCGGTGAAGAAATTGCTTCGGCATATGTCTGAGATTTTGTTGCCTTTGGATTCTTCTAGTATTTGTATGGTTTCCCGTCATATATTTAAGTCCTTTATCCATTTTGAGTTTATTTTTGTGTATGGTGTAAGTTGGTGGTCTAGTTTCATTTTCTTGCATGTATCTGTCCAATTTTCCCAACACCATTTATTGAAGAGACTGTCTTGACTCCATTGTATGTTCTTGCCTCCTTTGTCAAATATTAATTGAGCGTATTGGTTGGGGCCGATTTCTGGGCTCTCTATTCTATTCCATTGATCTATATGTCTGTTCTTGTGCCAGTACCAGGCAGTTTTGAGAACAGTGGCTTTGTAATACAGCTTGATATCTGGTATTGAGATCCCACCTACTTTGTTCTTTCTCAGGATCGCTGTAGCTATTCGGGGTCGTTTTTTATTCCAGATGAATTTTTGGAGAGTACGTTCTAGGTCTATGAAATATGCCATTGGTATTTTAATGGGAAGTGCGTTGAATTTATAGATTGCTTTGGGCAGTATGGACATTTTAATGATGTTGATTCTACCAATCCAAGAACATGGTATGTTCTTCCATCTCTTTATGTCTTCCTCTATCTCTTTTTTCAACGTCCTGTAGTTTTCTGAGTAGAGGTCTTTTACCTCTTCAGTTAAGTTTATTCCTAGGTAGCTTAATTTTTTTGGTGCGATGGTAAATGGGATTGCTTTTTTAGTCTCTCTTTCTGCACATTCACTATTGGTGTATAGAAATGCCATAGATTTCTTGGCGTTAATTTTGTATCCTGCTACATTGCCGAATTCTTTTATTAAGTCTAATAGTTTATTGATGGAGTCTTTAGGGTTTTTTAAGTATATCATGTCATCTGCAAATAAGGACAGTTTTACTTCTTCTTTTCCAATTTGGATGCCTTTTATTTCTTCTTCTTGTCTCATTGCAATGGCTAATACTTCCAGTACTATGTCGAACAGGAGTGGTGAGAGTGGGCATCCCTGTCTTGTTCCTGTTCTTAGGGCAAATGGTGTTAGTTTTTGTCCATTGAGTATGATGTTGGCTGTGGGCCTGTCATATATGGCTTTTATTATGTTGAGGTATGATCCTTCAATTCCCACCTTGCTGAGAGTTTTTATCAAAAATGGGTGTTGAATTTTGTCAAACGCTTTTTCTGCATCAATTGATATGACTATGTGGTTTTTTTCTTTCAATTTGTTTATGTGATGTATCACGTTTATTGATTTGCGGATATTGTACCATCTTTGCTTCCCTGGGATAAATCCTACTTGGTCGTGGTGTATGATCTTTCTGATGTACTGCTGGATCCGATTTGCTAAGATTTTGTTGAGGATTTTGGCATCTATGTTCATGAGGGATATTGGCCTATAATTCCCTTTCATTGTGTTGTCTTTACCTGGTTTTGGTATTAGGGTGATGCTGGCTTCATAGAATGAGCTTGGAAGTGTTCCTTCCTCTTGGATTTTTTGTAGTAGTCTGAGGAGGATAGGTTTTAGTTCTTCCTTGAATGTTTGGTAAAACTCCCCTGTGAAGCCATCTGGTCCTGGGCTTTTGTTTGCTGGAAGCTTTTTGATGACTGCTTCAATTTCTTCCATAGTTATTGGCCTATTGAGATTTTTAGATTCTTCCTGATTAAGTTTTGGAATGTTGTATTTTTCTAGGAATATGTCCATTTCCTCCAGGTTGTCTCGTTTGTTGGAGTAGAGTTGTCCATAGTATTTTTTAACAATCATTTGTATTTCTGTGGGATATGTTGTTATTTCGCCTCTATCATTTCTGATTTTGTTGATTTGGGTCCTTTCTCTTTGCTTCTTGGTGAGCCTGGCTAGAGGTTTGTCAATCTTGTTTATCCTTTCAAAGAACCAGCTCTTTGTTTCATTGATTTTCTGTATTTATTTTTGGTCTCTATGTCATTTATTTCTGCTCTAATCTTTATTATCTCCTTCCTTCTGCTCACTCTGGGCTTTTCTTGTTGCTCTCTTTCTAATTCTTTGAGCTGTAGATTTAGATGATTTACTACCATTTTTTCTTGTTTGTTGAGATAGGCCTGTAGAGCTATAAACTTCCCTCTCAGGACTGCTTTCATTGCGTCCCAAAGGTTTTGGATTGTTGTGTTTTCATTGTCATTAGTTTCCAGGATGTTTTTAATTTCTTCTTTGATCTCATTGGTAACCCAATCAATATTTAATAACGTGCTATTCAGCTTCCAAGTGTTTGAGTATTTTGAGTTGTTTTTATTATAGTTTATTTCTAATATTATGGCCTTGTGATCTGAGAAGATGCTTGGTATGATTTCAATCTTCTTGAATTTGGGGATACTTTGTTTGTGACCCAATATGTGGTCTGTTTTTGAAGATGTCCCATGAGCACTTGAGAAGAACGTATATTTTGTGGCTTTGGGGTGAAGTGTTCTGAAGATGTCAATTAAGTCCATCTGATCTAGTGAGTCATTTAGGATTGCTGTTTCTTTGCTGAGTTTTTGTCTAGCGGATTTATCCAGTGATGTCAGTGGTGTATTAAAGTCCCCTACTATGATTGTATTGTTGTCGATCTCTCCCCTGATATCTTCCAGGAGTTTTCTTATGTATGTGGGTGCTCCTGCATTGGGTGCATATATGTTTATCAGGGTTATATCCTCTTGTTGTATTGATCCCTTTAGTATTATGAATTGGCCTTTCTTATCTCTTGTTATGGCCTTCACTTTGAGGTCTATTTTGTCTGATATAAGTATTGCTACCCCAGCTTTTTTTTCATTTCCATTTGCCTGAAAGATATTTTTCCATCCCTTCACTTTCAGTCTGTGTGAGTCCCTTCTAATGAGGTGGGTCTCTTGTAGACAGCAAATATATGGGTCATGTTTTTTTTATCCATTCAGCCACTCGATGTCTTTTGATTGGACCATTTAGTCCATTTACGTTTAAAGTTATTATTGAAAGGTACTTGTTTGTAGCCATTTCTATTTTTTTGTGTGGCTGTTTTCTTTCTGGGCTTTTTAGTTCTTCTTTTTACACCAGTCCCTTTAGCATTTCTTGCATTGCTGGCTTGGTGGTGATAAACTCCCTTAGCCTTTTTTTGTCTGTGAAGCTTCTTATTTCCCCTTCAATTTTGAATGATAGCCTTGCTGGAAAGAGTATTC